GGAACTTATAACATAATCATATTTTGTTTGATCTGCACTAATTTTTGTATTTCTAAATTGTGCTTCTAGTTGTTGAATAAACCATATTTTAGGATCTGGCTTCCAAAAAGGAGGAACTTTAACGCTTACCTTGGCGACAGATGCAGTTGTTGCTTTAATTTCAGTTTCGTCTTCATCAGCCATTGTAGAATTCGATCATGCCGGGATACACCAGTGAACTGTCTGGTGTGCAAATATAGAATAATAACACTTCTCTGACTCCAATGGAACCAATATTTTATTCCTTACGATGTTATAGATTCTTATTCATAAGATTTATTTACATTTTACATGCACATAGCATCGCGTGATAAAAACTCGAAGTTTGTTTACTTCGTTCTTCGCGGAGACTAGAAGGTGTTGCCATTCCGCTTTAACTAAATTTAATTAGAAACTTAACGGAACTGAAGCGACACTACAGTGTGAAACAAACGCTGTGTGATATGCTCCTTTTATTGGTACTGTAAAACCAGTTGCAACTCTGCTTCTTTGACTTACGGAGATCACAAAAAAACTGTGAAGCCATGACACTCCTGTTGCACCTTGCTAAAATGGAAAAGTATTGAATTTCATTTACTCTTGCAGCTCTGTGGCAACCTTGTCCAGACATTCTCTATACAGATTCCATATTCTTAATATATATATATATATATATTATTCCTATATTCACGATGCAGTGCATTCTCTAGAAAGTCTGTAGAAATCTGCACTTGAGACTGTCCAGCTTCCAGTCTCCTGATGATTTTTCACCTCATTCCGTCATTCAAATGTTGATGTGAACTTGGTGTCTAGGGGATCTGAGCTGACGATACATATCTAGGTGACTAAAGTATTTTATATAACTATCAGTGGAGATACATTTAGTGGAAAAAAAAATAAAAGTGTGATAATTAAGAGGTTTTATCTTTGTTGTCTATTCATTACATCTTAGTCGAAAGCACGACTGCTCCCCTTATCTTCCATCATTCATCTCACTGCGATACAGTTAGTTGTGTTGCGTAGTTGCAGTTTTGCTACTTACACTCGGGCATCCTGATGGAATGCGGTCTTTCATTTTGGTAGCACGACCATCGGCATTTGGAGATCTTTGCTGAGTTTTGCCCCAGTCGTCATCATGGCCGTCTTAGAACATCGTAGCCGGTGATTCCCTTCTTCAGTGCCATCTGGAACAATCTGTCTGGATTCATCTATGTACATATGTCTCCTCAAACATGGTCTGGATATGTCTTCTTAACCCTTTGTTGCTCAGAACTTGAATCACTTCCAACACTCTTAAATTAAAACATAAATGGATGAAAATGCCTTTATAATATACTTTGAACTTTTCTTTTTAAACAGTAGATGCGAGCATATCACAAGGAGACCCAGAATTTTCACCTATGATGTGTTATTAAAATCCACGTACAGTAAGACCCCGCTTAACGCTGTTTCGGTTTAGGGCTCTTTTATTTCAACCCGGGGATTCTCCGAAATTGTACGCAGCGCTAGGTTTCCAACTAACATATCCGAAACAGTGTAGTTGTGTTTCTTGCTTGGTGGACGCATTTTTATCATTTGAAACATTTGTTGACATTATTGTAAGTTTAAATTTGTATAATACTATAACGATTAATACAGTGACAAATATTTTGATCTTTAGTTTTTATCATGGGTGATAATAAAAAACAAGAAAAGAAAGCAACCAGAAAAAGCATTTCACTGGAAACTCAAATGCAAGTGATTAGAAGATTAGATTCTGGTGAACGTCAATCTCAAATTAGTGCTGCATTGATTTTGGCAACTTCAACAATAAGGACAATTCTTAAGAATAAAGAAAAAATATTGTCATCGGCAACTGCAAGTACGTCGAGCTCTGCAACTAGAATTACCCGTTCTAGAAATAATATTATAGAGGAAATGGAAAAACGACTGTCTATATGGATTGACGACGAAATTGAACGCAATATGCCATTAAGCCAATCTATCATAATGCCTTCTTAACAAAAAGGCAGAAATTGGAAAACAGAAAATTGGAAACCCAGAATAGACTGAATGATCTGACTGAGAATTTTATTTGTTTTTAAAAGTATATGCGTTTATATTGTTTTTATTTTTGTAAGAAATAAATGTTTGATTTTATTTTTATTAAAAAAAACATTATTAAATTTAATGCCTAACCATTTTTTATCCATCTTCCCCTAACCCCATTATTTACATGTTAAGATAGCCTCGCTTAGCACTGTTTCGCATTACGCTCTACTTCGATGGAACGTATCCCCCGCATTAAGTGGGGTCTTACTGTATTTTCATGTAATTTTCTCTACAAAAAAATTTGTTTGAAAAAAAATTTCTGTTTTTGAATTTGATGACCGTACTCTATATTATTATTTGTTTTATATATATTTTTTTAATTTATCATACAAAAAGCATGCGCAGAATCATTTAATAAAACGGGATGTTCCACCAGCGGAAACACTTCGCCTTTTGCCATCTCATGCTATTATGCATCAGAACATCCATTCTTAAGAGAAAACATCTGTTGTATACCTTTTCTGTTTCCCTTATTTTGAGGGTATAATAAAATTCAAACAAAGCAATATTGAGGGGTGAGGTGTGGTTTGTGCTATTAAAGCCCTTGAAATTTTTGTGAGTAGTTTTCAGGCGGGAATTTTATCAGTAGCTCGAGTTATCCTTACTTAGAGCTGCACAAATTTTTTGCTGTCGCATTCCCATTTATTTTCAGTAATTGTGTAGATATTTTTTATGTATGTATATCTTATAGCTTATTTTTCTTTATTGTTAATATTAATTGTAGTTAATTTTTTATTATTAATTTTCCATAAATGGCGTGGAGATATCTAAACTCTTTCCGAAGAGCTAAAAGTGCTTCATAAATTACCCTCGGATTCTGAATCAGAGCATTAGGATAGCAGTGATACTGAGATATACACTCCTGAACCACTTGTGCAATCTAATTATGATATGTCAGATTAAACTTATTTATCGGATGAGGAGGTTGATGATCCATCTCAGCCAGGCCCTTCTACGCAGCTTCAAGTTACTACTTGGAATTCTAAACATATTGTACCACGGAACAGAAGCCACACAAAGCAAGTTTTGTGTCAAAACTTGAAAAGTTGGTTTGTGCTTCTCTCTGAACGGTGTGACATGCTTTGAGCAACTTCACGAAGCTAAGAAATTGAAAAATTTGTAAAAAATTTTGTATATAGTACATATATTTATCTCATTTATCCATATATATTAAAAAATATTGTGTATATCCAGAAAACCATGTATACACCCATAATACAGTGTTTATTCATTACTATACAAAAGCTTCTACTCATTTTCGTGCTTCACTGCTATGCTCGCTTAGTCGCTATTTTAAGAGCTCTGGCAGCGTGGTGTTCCACCTCATTGAACACCCACAAAATTAAAACAGTAACTGCAATTTTTACCAAATTTTACACGTATACTCCTTTAAGCCTAAATAGACTGCGTACAACTTTTTTTGTTGAAATTCCGACTTTAAAATGTAGTACGCCACAAAGGGTTAAATATTATATAAATGCGTCTTTGATATCCTCAAGATCCGTCTTTCGAATTTGTCTTTAAGCCGTCTTTCTTAATACATTTCATCCTTAGTCATCATCTTCATTCCTCTTAAAATAGTTTATCTTTAAACAGTGGTCTGTTAGTAAATTCGGGAAAAAGTCTAAATCAAGAATCATCAGAATCGGTATTTCCTTATCAAAACTTACACAGTTTTCTTCCTTGATCCTCTGAATCTGCTTTTCCGCTTCTTTTTTCTCACCTTTATTTACTTTTGTTCCGTATTTGCTTTTTGTATTAGTGTCTTTGTAATCGGGTTTTCTGGTTTTCAACCTTCTCCTCTTCGCCGGTGGTCTCTGTAGTTTGTACGACTTCAGTGGTTTCTTTTGGTTATATGTTGCAAAGTATGTTACTGAAGTTTTTCTAGTGGAATTAGCATTTAGTTTATCATAAACTATGAGCTGAGACTTTCCATTGGGAAAATACTTTTTTTCAGAATCTCCTTCTGCGTTGGCATTTTTCCTCAATGGCTTCAAATCTGCATCTGTTGTGCTTGAGATTCCTTTTGCATTAATTCATCATTGACAGCATCATTTTCATTTACAGCAGTATCTGTATCACACGAGACGTCAGAATCCACAATCAGGGAATCATTGCCATTTGCTTTGATTGTAGATGAAGTGTCCAGTTTGATCACATCATGTACTGTAACTGGAACTATATTAACAAGATCAGTTTCTGGTTTTGGAAGTGAAAAACAAGAATTCACAACTTTTCTAGCTCCTTTCTCAGAACCACTTCCATTGCAATAAGCACTTTTGTGCCCTTCAGAATCACTTTCAGAGTTCTTGTTTTCTGTGGTAATGCAAATAGTTGATCTAAATAAAGAACCATCTGTTTTGAATTCACCTTTAAATCTCTCTAAAGGTTCATTACCAAATCCCATTAACTGTAAATCTCCCTGGGATTCTAGTTATACTACTTTCAATTGCTATCTGGGTATATAAATCACTTGCACAACAAGAGCATGCATTAATATTGATTCTTGAAGGGTGACTGGGAGAGGTATGAGATGAAATTTAGTTGGGAATGAGTTATCTGCCACCTTTTAATTTGGGTGCAATTCTAGAAACTGTGTAGATTTTTGGAATGAATAATGTGAAAAATCTACTGCACTCATTCCAGAAATCAAACCATGGCTCTTCCAGTAATTAACTGAATGTGCCACTTATACAATGAGAGCATCTATCGAAAGTACAATAATTCCTTCATCTAAAATATTATATCAAAATAACAGGGTATAAGAAGAAACGTTAGTTTTTATCTTTTTTTCTCAAGCATTTGTCCATATGTTATACCAGGTAGCTGCTTTGATGTCAGTATTTAGACTTTTTTATATGTAATAGAATGAATGCATATTTTAATTTCAGGTGTTTAAAAGATTGGAATTAACAAATCCTGAAGTGGTGCAAGATATGATATTACTGTCTCCAAATTCTCATCTAAAGCTAAAGAGCAACAGGTAATATTTTTTGGCATTGACTTATACATTATGTATTGGTTTTCATCTTTAATTTGATGCTAAACGATTTTGTAATTCACATGATCCAGAAAAGAACGTCAAAGAAATTCACGTGTCAAAGAAAAAACATTCTTTGACAAAAAGTTTCTTCTTTGATTAGGTGCAGTGGGTATGGAGATCTGTAGCTGTGTACGCTGCACCGAAGTGTTTATATTACTGTTAATTTCTTATATTAAGGCATGTTGTACTGAGACTATGGCATTATTTCCAAGAATAAGTACACAAGTTCAGACATGGAATTTCTGTTATTAATATTTGCTGTGAATGATGTAGGAAAGAATAGTGGATAATAGTGTTTTTCTTGAATGATTTAAAAGTAGCTTCTTGCATGAAGCTACAATAGAGTATTAATCGATAGAGCTTGGTGCAGAATATATTTAATTTTAGATATTTTTTTTTTTTTTTTAATCTTCCAAAAGCAGAATATTTTGTAAAAGACAGTTTTTGTCTATGTCTTTTTTGTGTTATTTCTGTTATGTGACTTAAGATATTACAGATACTGAAATCTAAATACAGATCTTAGCTGATGCACTATTTTCTTGCCACACTAAATAATGGGAAGCTTCCTGCAGATTTCATAAAGGAATTAAACTTAGAAATGAAATTGCTAAGCAAATTACTGTACAAATATTAAGCAAAGTGCTGCTACAATGTATGGCTAAGATTAACATTTCAGAAAAAGAATAAACTTGCCTTGTTTCTGTGTAGAGTTTTGTGAAAAGATATTCATTCCTGAACTTATCGAATATGCTAGGAGTGTATCTGACTGCAATTATGACAGAGATTACAGGAGAAAACCTAGAGGAATGGTGATATTGATGATGTTATGTCTTCTGTTTATCAAAAACTAAGCAATAAATTTTATCGATGGTTTTGTGAGAGGAGCCAGGAAGAAAAATGAAGTGGAGAATATTATTTCTGTAGGTAAATGTATATACTGAAGCTAAGCAAACTTAGCTTACCTTTCACACATCCCGCAGTGCTGTTAATTCTCCAAAACAAAACTTATGAGGACTATATCCATTAATAATAGGACGCATATTTAAACACAAATCATATTTATTCATCTGTAACTAAAATGATAAAGCGACACATGCATTAATGCTGCATACAAGCATATACGAAAGCTTAATAATAAAAAGGAACATGCGATATAATAATTGAGCATGATTGGCACACACACGCCTTTGCATTTCCAGGATTACCAGGAGTGAGTTGGAAAAAACACTTTTTTTGTGTTTGCCTGATTAATTTACAACATATAGGTAATAAGAAATTTAGACATTGCCAGGGACTGCATCATTCTAGAAAATAAACTTCCCTTCATATCTTGTTCTCAAGGGCAAATACCATGCTTTTTTAGTATAGATATCTTGATGAACCTTTATGTCAGGGTTTGTAAAATGCTTAAAAGTCTAGTTTTTTTTTTTTTTTTTTTTTTTTTTTTTTTGTGTGTGTGTGTGTGTGTGTGTGTGTGTGTGTGTGTGTGTCCGTCCATCAAAAGTCCTTAATTTTACTCATTTGACATTTCTGGCTGTTTTTTATGACTGCCATTTTGAGTGTGAATTAACATTTTGGAGGAATATTTTTTTTCCAGAGCATTGACAAATATGTATTTGATAGATCGTTTCAAACCTTTCCCACTTCTTCCTAAAAAATGGTAGATACTTGAGTTTTAGAAGCACGTGGCCCTGCTTCAGTTGAAATATTAACATTTTGAAGTAACTCTTTCTTTGCGAATGAAGAATTCATAAAACTGGCTTTGAATTTGGCAACTTTTCAGCTTTGATGATTTCAAAATTAGTTTGTATTAAAAATTTTTATTTAGGGATTCATGAAATTTTGACATTTTTTGAAATAAATTTAATAACACTGATAAATATAAAAATAGTGATAATATATTAAAAAGTGATATTACTTTCCGTTTTGGTGTCATAAGTTTTGAACCCTCCCTCTCCCCCCCTCCCCCTGAAAAAAAAGGGGGATAATAAATGTTATAAAGCCCAGTTTCACAGTTTCCGAAACACTTCTTCGAAAAAACAGAAATACTATTGTAAATATTTAATAACTAATTTTAATTGTCCTTTTTTTAGATATTTTTTCATGTGTAATTGTTTCAGAATATTTAAATATGCATCAGTTTTCTTTTGAAAATTCACTTTACCTCTTTCTTTTCCTCTTTTCTGAATTTTTTTTTTCCTAAAATTTTAACTGCATTGCAATACCAACTATTCCCATACAGATGCACAATCTCGCTATATAATTAATTGCCTCACCTCATAATACAACTTTGCAAGTGATCTAAGCAGTCATATTCTTGCTCCTAAATAATGAGTCCGGTGTCTGTATTATTCTCTGAAGCAGAATCACAACATTTGTTTTGAAATTATGTGAAGTACTTTTATTGTGTTTTGTTCAATATTTTGGTATATTTTCCCTTTTAAATGTGGATCACAGGGATACATCTCCCCAAAAAAAGGTTCAAATTCTATTAAAGTTATAGATTGCTGTGGTGCAGGCTGCAGTTTACAACCTTTTATAGGCATATTTTAGAACATGGAGGTGGCATCATTCTGAAATGTTTCTATATCTACTAGCAGGTATTACTGTGACATTTGGAAAAAAAATTTTTGGAACTAAAGTCATTGTAGAATTTAAATGAATGTAATTGTATTTTATCAGATTTTTTATAGGTTATTAATTTGTGTTCTGTTTTTCTTTCTTATATTTTTATTAATATATATATAATGAAATATACACACACACATATATGTATGTTTTAAATAGGTTTGGTCCTACTAAAGTCACCTATAAAATTATAGTTCCTGAAAATAGATCTTCTCACGCTGCAGTTGTAAGTGTAGATGATGAAGGGAATCTTTTATCATCATCACAAACTGGCTCTGCTATTCTGTTAGTTACAGCAATTGAAGAGTTTGGTATAATCCAGCAATTGTCTGTTATTGTAAAGGTAATAAAATATAATGCATTTAGTTTTAGCATTTAAGGCAAAATGTAAGAGATTTTAAATATTTTCATAAAACAGTTTCTTTATAATTTTTTTAAATAAATTCAAATTGCTAAAATCTTATAGTTATTTTTTTATAGTTTTGGCTTTTAAATTTTAAATTGTTTAAAAATATTTATTTGATATCAACTTTTGAGTTGCAAATTGCTTTTGGTATCTTTCTCTCATTGGTAAGGATTTCCATTGTTTTATTTACATATTCATTTGCTTTCTTAGTTTAGCTGGAAATTTTGTTGAATATTTTTTGCCTGTAGCCAGCTAGAAAATTCTAGTATTTTGTATGAGTATCCAAAAATTTTTATGAGAATTGTTCCCATGATAAGAAGGAGTAGTATTTTGTCATGTAAAAGTTGCGAATAAAGGAATAATATCCTTATTAGCTTTCAAACAGTTGCTTTTTGACAAGTGCTTTGAAACTAAAGATTGTATTTAAAGTTTCATTTCAGGCAGAGATGAATATAAAAGCTTTAATAAATTCCTACGTGCAGTTACATTCAGATATATGCTGCTTTCTGTTAGAGAAGGGAAATAAAGGCAAATAAAGGAGCTGCTACAAAAAATAAAGAATCTAGTATAAAAGGATAATTATGTAGAACAATCATTTCTATTGTATCCAGCTGCAAATGCAGTTATTATTTAAATTTTGTAGCTGTTATTTAGTCATTTCTTATATGCTATAGTGCAGTTTGCATGATTATTTTGATTTTTTTCCCCTGAATGTGTTTATAGATAGAAGAAATAGCATATATGATGATAAAACCAATTGGAGATATTAGAACTAGAGACTGGCCTTTGACTACCCTCCCTGTTGGTTTTACTATTCCCTTTTTTGTGACATATCATGACAACATAGGTCAAGTATTTCATGCTGTTCGCTCTCAGCTAAAATTTAGAGCCAGCAGGTAAGACTTTGGTGTTATATTTTAAGTTGCTCATTGTACTTGCGGGAAATGAAATTTAAGAACCATTTATAATGCCTTTAGTTAATTTTAGCTTAAGTAAATATGGTTATTAATTAGTGTAAACAAACAAGTAGATAAATTATTGGAATTTTTTTTTATTCTGAAGGCTATTTTATTCATTGTTTATTCCCTGCTGTTTCTTTAGAAACATTAAATGTCTTCTTGTGTTCAGGTATAATTTAGCAAGAATATCTTTTGGTGTCATGAATAATAGTTTGGCAATTCAAGTTGTTAAACCTGGATATACTGTAATAAAAGTAAGCTGGAACTTCATATGATTAAATATCATTTTAAATACTATTAAATTGGTTTAAAATATGGGAAATTTCACTGTGTAGAAAAGCTATATGTAATTCTTTTTAAGGTATGGGATTCTGAATCACCCATTCCACCTGATTACATCAAAATTGTTGCAGGACCTGCTGTTGATCCTTCAGATGTACAGCTTACTGTTGGTGATGTAATATGTTTTGGAAGTCCTTTGTTAACTAAAGAAGGTAACCTAGTTATATCTTTTTATCAGTGTGAATCCATAATGATTACGGATACTTTTATATGGCCTTCTAAATATCTTCTTATAAAGTAAACACAGTGACAAGAACTAACAGATTATAAATGTGAGAGGGAGGATTTTTATATACTTCCTAATGTGACAATTGAGGCTGCATTGTTTGTTGGATATTTGGTGCTACTTTGGTAGACGGTTGCACAGATTTTGGCGAGTAATACGATTTATGATAAACCCATTGCTGGACAAGTTATTTATGGTAGCCGATACTTTGTTGTCATTTTATTTAAAAAATAATGCCTTTTATTATGCATAAATTCAGTGTTTTAAATATTATTTATGATTTATAAATAATAAAAAAATTAATTTAATTTTGCTTTTTTTTAATAAAATTTTATTGTTTATATTTATGGAATTTTATGTTGTGAATGATGTAATAAATGATGTCACATTATTTTAAAAGTAATTGCTTTAATGTCTATAAATTTAATCTAATGTTTTAAATATTATTTATGGCTGTTAAATATTAAAATACAATTTAATCTTGCATTTTTTAAATATGATTTTATTATGAATGATTATTTAAATAATTTTAATTCTATGCGTGATGTAATCAGCTCCCTGATCGGTTACTGAATATTTGTGCATTACCACACCATTTTAAAATTTTATTATTCATCTCTTCGAATTCATCAGATTTCAAATGGAATGGATATGTCTGTTTCGAAGATGAGTCTTGTTATTGGTAATTACCCAAGAATTATTGGTATCAGAATAAAAGAATTGCCCTGTGAGACCTTATTTTGGCCAACCTGGCTTTCCTAATCAAAGATTTATTTATTGTTACAAGGGTCAGAGGAAATTTATGTTAAATTTTTGGAGGAAACCTCGCTAATTGCTTCTTCAATGAAGTGCAATATATGTGGATAACAGATGGAGTTTTTTTTTTTTTTTTTTTTTTTTTTTTTTTTTTTTTTTTTTTTTTTTTTTTAACCCTGGTACTTATCAATATACGACAGGTAAAGTACTTTAAAAAATGTAAAAACTTTTTTTTTTTTTTTTTTTTACTTTATAATTGTATACTTCAATTTTTATTAAAAATTAATACACTGTTTTCAAAAAAAATTCCTGAGATATTTATTGCCACATATGTTTTAATGTTAAATAATTATATCCTATAAAACTTATTTTAAAGAATTTGAATTTAAGTAATTGAAAAATTTTAATTCTTTTAAACGTTGGTATGATGTTTTTAATTTAATATTCAGTTTAAATAATATTTTATTCCAATTAAATGTTGGCGCAATGTTTTTATAGCGCTGTTTTTATTCTATTATATGAAAGTAATAATTTAACCTTAGTTTACCATTTTATATTCTTAGTAAAAGTATTTATTTACATTTTCCAGCCATCTTAAAAAACAAAGTTTTCAACAAAAAAATTAATCCATTATTTTTAGCGATATTTATTTTTTTAAAGTTTCGAATACTTTACTATGCGTGAAATATGTAAAACCAGCATTTTTCAAGATGGCTGAAGACTGTACTGCGCCAACGTAAATGGCCAAAAATCCGTGCAACCGTGTACCAAAGTAGCACCATTTAAGTAGTATTTAAGGATTTCTAAGTGCGGAAATACAGACAGCATCTTCAAGAAAAATATGTCATTCAACAGTACTCCTTATCACGTGCAGATGATTGGATTAAAACAACTTCGGATAAAATATCTCAACTTTTCAACAATAATTTGCCAGTTTCAACAACGGAGTAAGCTTTTTGCACTAAAGTTTTTCAAGATTTCTTTTGAAAAATCTGTTTAAAATTATATTCTAATTTTTTTTTTTTTTTTCCTCTTTACATTAAGATAAGTACTTTTGCTATATCTATTAGCATATAAAAGTTATTATATTTTCAAATTATGAAACTTATCATGTTTTATCTTAAAAAAATATACTGAGTTACATTGTTGAATCAGCTCTAACTGATCTAAAAACATGTATCTTTTATATTTTCATTTCAAGATTTTATTGAAATGTAATAATTTTATAATAGAAATAACAAGAAAAGTTTTTCTCTTTCTTTTTATATAGGTCTCATTTCTGAATATTCAATATTTAATAAGTTATTAAACATTTTTCAATATTTTACTATTTATTTTCATATTTAAATCATTGGAAAATTACTAGCAATAAAATTGTAAATATCCTTTATAATAAAATAAATAAATCTCATTATAAAAATATTTTTTAAAGAAATTATATAGTTTTTTGAACTTGGTAACATTAAATATATAAATGCTATTAAATATTAAGAGGAAATAACAATTACTTCATTGTTTACATTTTAATAGTAGAAAGCACAGACTCTTTCTTTTCAAGATTTCAGTTTTACAAGACTTCAACTTATTACTTCTATTTTACTTCTGTAAATTTCTATTATTTTATAATAATAATGAGTACCATTGATACTTTTTCGGACACAAATTCAGAATTAGATATGGAGTGTTAAACTGATGTACTTGAAAATTTTGAAAATCTCATCCTCAGCCAAAAGGAGGTCATCGAATTCTATTACAACAAATGAGTGAAACAACTAAAATCCAAAAAAAGGTGACAAGAACACTATTCCAATAAATTTACAAAATCAACTAACACAAATGTGGACAATTTTAAGAAAAATTGGCATGAAATCAACTGAAAATAAGAACTATTGGAATAAATTAAATTCTTTATTAATTGATTTTTTTAAGGGTGCCTTGAAATTAGGAGGAACAAATTCAAATTATATCTGTTTCCATAAATTTTTCATGTAGAATATTCATAATGTTATGCTTCTAGAACCCAAGCAACACAGCTCCAAATATAAATACTTGTATGTATAATTTTTTTGAAATGAAAGTTTGATATTTTTGCAGGTTATTTTTATGAAAATTGCCCTAATAAAAAAAGCCAAAGATATTATTGATATTTGCCAATGATGTACATTGATACTTTATCATATTTTATGCAGGTTATTTTTACAAAAGTTCTATGAAACAAAATGTACTGATAAAAACTACCAACATCATAGTATTTTTCATTCATTACTTTTATGAACATTATATGAATTCTAAAGACCTTGAAAAATATGTATAATTCAGAATATTTTTTGTGTAGGTTTTCTTTTTTTTTTTTTTTTTCTTTTTATTAATGTTATAATTTTGCGAGGTTCCTTTGAATAAAGTAGTAGGGGAAGAGTGCAAAAAAGTGTTTTTTATTTCAATTTTAATGTCCTACAGTAATTATTTGAATAATAATAATGGATCTATGGAATTAGATGCTTAGTCCTGATATTTCAGCATAAATTTCAATCATTTTAATCATTATTATAAAAATCACATGAGCTGAAATTTTTCAATGGTGTTTAATATGTAAAAAGTATTTAAAAATTTCGATAATTTTTATATGGGTTGAAAATAAATAAATATTATAAGTAAATTATTATATTTTATACTTCTCATGAAACAGGAGTAATTTAATTTTTAAACCAAGGTCTGATTAATGGACGCACCGTATTAATAGGTCATAGTATAAACTTAAAGGAAAGCAAAACTAGAGTTCTTCTGTTTATAGATAATGGATTGTCATTCTGTAAAGGATGAGAATTTATCTCTGAATTGAGAAATTATATTTGTGAGAACACATGGCTACTTCATATATATGCAGACTGTAGAAATTTCTGTATAATAGAAATAAATATATAGTTTCATTTTTAGCTTCTCTGGATGTTATGTTAGCACATAAATGTTTTCAGCCATGTCATGTTAAGTAATAGTTTTGAATTAAAATGCCAAAAATGGTCCTTTTCTTTAATTTCTATTTGTTAAATATTGAATTTCTACTGTTGTTATTATTTAAATTACTTAGGCCATAGTGGAACATGGTCGTCTAGTGGAAAGAATGTGCTTTCTATCCATTCAACATCTGGTGGAGCTGTGGCATTAAGTCCTGGTACTTCTACTGTTACTTACTCTTTACTGAATGGGTTCAGCACTTCTACCCAGGTTAGTTAAAACATCATGAAAATTAATATTTATTGCACTTTTGCATATATATAAATATATATATGAGTTTTAAACTTTAATATACCTAGAAAAAGCTGTAAGAAAACTTGAAATAAACCTATTCTTTTCCCGAAACACATTGCAAAAAGAAAAATTTTAGCAAACAGTATTTGAACTGAAAATGACGTTACATTAAAAATGAATGCATATGAGTACCAAAAACATTTGTTAATATCTTTTGTTCGAAGCTTCAAACCAAGTCGATCAACTAGACAAACTAAAACAAGTTTTGTTCCAACAAATCCACTGAGACTTTGAGTGGCAAAGCGAATTTAAATTTAAAGGGCCAACACAAATGAACTGCCTCATTGAATTTGTCTCTTCTCCCGACTTGTTTCTGTTCTGAAAGCCACAAAAGTTATATTAAATGTTGAAATTAGTAATACTAACTAAAGACTAAAAATTTATACTGTAATACAAATAAAAAAACATGTAATAAAATTATAATATACAAGTAAAATCCTAAATAAGAACTTGCCTATCAAGTAAAACGATCAAAAAAATTTTAAAAATAAAATACCTTAAACTATTTTCATACATGAAAATTCATTTGATTGTCCTGTGTAAAGGCAAAAAAAGGGCTTGGATCGAATGTGTGAATTGATAAACTTTTGCTAAAAAAGTTAAATTTAAAAACCTTTGAAAGTAAAAATGGGGAAGAGCAAGTTTGCTAAAAAATTTTTTTTTAGATGGTAAAACCAAAGAATGACAAAATTCATACCTGGTAGTTGACGCTGGCTTCGGCTGCAGTTATGCTGTGAAAAATCCGTATGTATAAAGGTTGCCATGTTTGAAACCAACCCTACAGCCTGGTAACCAGAAAATTGAAACAGTCAATTTCAATGAATGGCTGAGCATTGAAATCAGAAAAAGGTCTTGTTGATAAGTCAAAGGTGGCCTCCGAGAAAAAAGGGGGTGTCCAGTAGTGGTCGAAGCTGGAGGCAATTAGCAGCACTAGGCATTAATTTTGATAATTTGTTACTTTGGCTACTTTACTAGTTTCTTATTATATATAATATTGTTGATGTTATATTTAGAAAAGAATATCTGTTTGAAGTCTTCCTTTGGTACTTGAATTTTTATAATGTACCATTTATAATTTATTTGTGTTCTATATTAGTTTTGATACACATTTGCTGTAGCTTAGTAATACATATTTGCATTATAAAGCTGAATTACATTAACATTTATAAATATTACTAGTGCATATGCAAAACATTTGTTATAATTCATGAAGTCCTATGATAAACAGAAAAAATATTTTGGGACATTCTAAGAAAATATAGTTATGATTACTTCTGCAACATTTATAAAATTTAAGGCTAGCATATTATGCTAATTATGTAGACAGCTTAAATTTTAGCTATGAAAATTGAAGAATGCAGCATGGAAAGATGAGAAAATAATCTTGCGTTTGTTAAATATTCAAACATACTTTAAAAAAATGTGAATAAATTAGCCTTTTTTTGCAGCAGTTTCTTTTAAATATCTTCCTTTCCATAGAACATTTTAATTTTTAATACATATTATCATATGATTTTTTAAACATTCATAAATTAAAAGTTAAATTTTTTGTAACTTTTATTTTTATTGAATTTTAAAAAATTCAATAACTTGTCCTGCTTGCACTTGAATCCAATGTTAATTAAAGCCCAGTTGTCTTTGTTAAACTGCATTTTAATGGCATTGTGTTAGAGAATGTTGGATAGTTTGTCACAGCAAAGTACTTAATGTGTATCTGTGATATAAGAGGTGCTTTCATAAATGAATTTGAGCCCACCAGCGGCCGAGCGGTAAAGTCGCTGAACACTGGTAGATTGGTCCGAGGTTTGAATCCCGCGAACGGGCTGGCTGCATGGGCTTTTTCGTGGTTTTCCCCATGTGTAACGTGTATACGAGCCAGTCCCTTAGAAAGTCCTCCACGAGGCACCCTCCCAGGCATAGCTCGTCAGGTTGCCACGCTACCTGGAGAACCGGGAAAAGTCAGGGAATTCGAAAATTGACCAAAAAATTCAGGGAAAAGTCAGGGAATTTAAGTATTTTTGTCAAAATCTGGAAAAGTCAGGGAAGTTCATACAACGATCCCGCCAAAAAAAGCGATTTTTGCGCCGACGTCGGAAGAGATAACTTTTTTGGCGAATTATGTATCACGTGAGTGTCATTCGGGTAGCTGGCATAGAGCCAATTTTCGCAGCTCCAATTTGATTGTCTTTTAGAAAGGCAAAGCAACTTTCCCGCAACTTTTGGTTTCCAGTATTCTCGAGAATCGCATGTGCAGTGCATGAACTAAAGAAAGTACCTGTTCTCGTATAAAACAAAATGGGTTTAATCCTAGTATACGGTACCATGGAGGTTAGAATCAAAGAATATGTATTGTAAAGAAGGAAAACCTCTCTGCAACAGACGTGGCTGTGGCTCCGTTCCATCATAGAGGGAAACAGCTGTGCATGTCTGATATATCTGTCCGCCAAAGCTCGAAACCGGTGTCGAAGTTCGAAGGTCACGTTATCAAGAGTTCATAAAATGAATATCGTTTAAAATTTCTTTAACCACTTGCGCTAAAAAGACGTGCCACGCACGTCGAGATGCTTTTGTCTCAAACCGCGAGCGACGTGAACACCACGTCGATAAGCATTTATCGCAAAAATGAAAATAACATGGTGCACACGTCGCCTAACAACGAGATTGTTTATTTCTCGAGTTACAGCTCTGGATTGCACTCGCAGATGCGGAGCGGCGTAAATGAGACACTTTACCGCTTGTTATATTGTAGCGCACGGCACCGCAACCGTGAAGTTTAGTCTTAGCGCAAGTGGTTAAACTCTAAAGGAAAAGAAAATATTTTTGGCGCAAGTAAATTAATTCATGGATTAGTTATTTTCAGGGGGGGGGAAAAAAAAACTACGAAAATCCGTTTTTAAAATTATTGCGAAAAATCCAAGAAGAAACGTCCTTTGATAAAACGTTTCTTCTTGGATTTTTCGCAATAATTTAAAAACGGATTTTCGTAGTTTTCTTTTTGTCAAAGAGCGTTTCTTCTTAACACACGTGTTTCTCAATTTCCTGTACACATCGCGGAGAGGGAAATTCTGGCCGCCAGGTTCCGTCGCCAAATCCCTTGGCAAATTTTCCCTCCGCATTCTAGCGGCGTAATAGCATTTTACTTGTATGGAAACCTTTTCTTCTTTACATAGACGTTCTTTGGTTAGAATAATAATGGGATTTGGCGACATGATGATGCGCAGTAAACGGGTCATTTTGGTCTTGGCGACAATTTTCAAAATCGTGCCAAAGCCTTACCGTATACTAGAATTTTACCGCAAAATCTTTTTAAACCTTTTTTTTTTTTTTTTTTTTTCTTTTAATAAATACCTTGCCATTTTGCAGTAAAATAAAAAAATAGTAATCAGTCATCTAGGCTAACCATGTAATATAACTATATTCGCTAAAATATCGTTGATTATTCTAATTCAATTTTTAAGTAATTATCTTTATTTTTATGTTATTCATATAATTTAATGTTGCTTCTTCCCTCTAAATTTATTTATTATTAGTAAATAATATTTCCAAATTTCAGGAAATTTTCTCTGGCATAATCCTGAAATTAATTCTAGCAGTATGATGACATACCATCACGAAATTTAATGCACATATTTTTTCCTTATGTATGCTGCGAAATAAATATAAAATACCTCAATTTATTAAAAAAGCCTTATTTTATTCCAGATTGGGAAGATTCTAATCTCAATCTTCAGTGGAGAAAACAACAACTATTATAATTATATTTGTGTTTTCAAGTGTTAAGGTGCCTTTTAAGAACATACCTCACACAAATTAAATTTACCTAAAATCTAACCTAACTATTTAGCATTGCATTGTGATTTATAAGGACCGGATTAGCCTCGTGTTGAACTGGTGATGATCATGAGTAATAATTAAATAAAACATACATTTGTTATCCAATGTATATATCTTAAATTTTATTAAGTTTCTTAAGTGGAAAACTAAACAAAATTATCAAACAAAGTATACCAAGAATAATTAAGAATAAATGTGCTCTGGGATTTATTGAATAATTAAGTGAATTTGCTACACAATACAAGTAATACCATAATTAATTTACCTCTTAGCACAGCCAACGTACATTATGCGGATAGACTGGAATTTTCTTGAAACACACCTGGAAAACCTGGAAAAGTCAGGGAATTTCATTCTCCTGTTTGAGTGGCAACCCTGCCTCGTGTGCTTTGCCATTATTAAATACACCAACACCATAAATGAGTTTGTAAGGAGAAAGCTTATGTTCGTGTTACACATAGGGAAAATCATGAAATTTTGATATAATCAGCCTTTAAATCTCTGCAATTACACCTGAAACTAATTACTAGTGTTCAGGAGTTTTATCCATGTGGTTGCTGATGGGCATAGTAAAATAGGAAGTTATTGGAAATTATTCATAGTTGGATCATAATCAGAGTTTTAAACAGCTGCCATTGTAGAGTTTTCAGAACAGAGAGCTTCTTAACATAAATATGGTTAACTCAAAAGGGAAATATAAAAATTTTTACAAAAAATTGGAATTTGCGACCAATTAATTCATCAAAAAAAAATTCATTTGAGTTGATCTTATTACAAATATATGCAGTTTTACGAAAAATATGTAAATGTTGTCTCAAAAATTTAATTTCATTGAATAGATTCATCTTAAATCATTGTTTAACTTAGTGGAAAAGTTTTCTTTCTTTTCTTTAATCATTTATTTCACCTAAAAGTCAAATCAGTTTTATTATTATTTTATTGGGTGTCAGAATTTATCTGGTGGGGGGGGGGATCTTATGAATTTTGTTTTCTGTTTGGCTGTATAATTATATGACCTGTAATGATTAAAGCTGCCATCATACATTGTTTTAAATTGGCAAACTATATTGAATGAAGTTTTCCCCAAAGATGCCACTGTACTTTTTTTTTTAATTATTTAGATGGCTTGAAAGATAATGAAGGACTGGACAAATGTTTCATGGAGTGTCTTGGAAATCTTTAATCACCTAAAATGTTTATGCTTCATACATTTTATGTACATTTGTACAAAAAAAAAAAAAGGTTAACTCTTTCACATCAAAGTGGCCCAAAACACTCGACCATTCAGACATCACCGGCAGGTCGCCTAAATGCCTGAATCATTTTCTACCTAGTGCCTTTCTCCCATCATGTTAGTCCATTTCTCATTGCTTTTGGATGTTGTTAAATGGCATGCCAATCATTCTTTTGAAGCAACTAAAAGTAGTACTGTTATTTAAATGCCCTTTCTTTTTCCTTTGTTTACTGTTAATGTTTAGCTATTGATGCCCAAAGTTGCAATCCTGTTCTAATGGGAAACTGCATGCACTGGTGAAAGCAACCTAGTTGTTGCTTTACTTAGATAGGTTATTGTTAGCACTGTAGCATTCTACCTGTCATGGGGGAAGGAAATCCATTCCAACAAAAATACTTATATACGGGCATTTCAGATGTTTGAGTGAAATAGATTTTGGCCTCTACCAATGCGAAAGAGTTAAATAAAATTTATGGTGAAAAAATTTATGGTTGTGATTCCTTGTGGCATAAGTAACCAGTTGCAGGCCACTTGATTTTTCCGGCAATATTTCATTTAAGTGTTTGGAAAAGATTATGAATACTGGCTTTTGATTGAAAAACTTCAATTTTCATCTTTTGGAAGAGTGCTTCCTTCAGGCTAAGAAGAATGAGTATCAATCGCTTGGAATTAATTCAAGAAAGAATAGAGTATCATCTAGTTCATCCTTTAATGGTAGATTGCTTTTTGATTATATTCAGCATAGAGTATAATTTTATTAAATCTTTTAATCTTCTGTTGACAATACCTGACATACCACATTGATGAGACCCATCCTTATTGTAGCAAAAACATAGTGCATTACCACTGCTCTTAAATGGCTAAGAACACAATATGTATACTATAACAAAGGTAGACTTATATAACAAGACTTTAAAATGTGAAGTGGAATCTAAAAGAGAATGTAGGTATAATGTTGAAAAGACTACTGATTAATGGGTGCTATTTTTATGTATATTAAAGTTTTATTAATTAATTTATGTAAAAAATTATTTTAGGGGTGCGTTTTGGATTCTATGAAATCTAATGATCGAGAAAATACTGTGTGTGCTTAATATGAAAAAAAATGTACATTGTTTTAGGTGAAATAGTGGGTGATAAGAAGTATTTCTGTTATATCATTTTAGGTCAAATTAGTTCTGTGGGAACACCATGTATCCTTTCTTTAATGTGCACACCATTTTAAAAAATTCATCCTTAGTTTGGCACTGATTTTTAATGAAAATATTCATTGCATTTTGAGAGTAGGTGTTTCTCTTCAGACAAAAATTATTAAAAATAAATTTCTCCTGATGGTTTTAAAAGAGTCTATAATTTTACTTCTAAAGAGTAAAATGTTTCTGTGTGTACAGAAAATGAAATTTAAATGTGTGTGTGTGTGTTTTATTATTATTGTTGTTATATATATATATATATATATATATATATATATAAGTGTATATTTTTATCAAATAGGTCACAGTGAATGCTGCTGCTTTTATTTCCATTGTTCCAGGCAATGTGAATCATGTAAGCAATTTTCCAAAAGCCAAACCATATAAAATTTTCATAGTAGTGCAAAGTAATGATACTCACAGAGTTAATAATATGGTTGGTAAGTTTTCAAATCTTGTGTAATCTAGTTTTTAATTAAAGACTTGTATGTAAGTAGCAGTATAAACCTTTGTTTTCTTTAAGAAGCAAAGATGCTTGTTTGGTAAGGTCTACGTATATGTATATTTTGAGTACGTAAAACTTGCAAATAGACAGATTTTTTAATTAAGCAATGTTAATAAATACTGTGAAGTGCAAGTAGTTTGCTATGTTTCAAATTTATTACATTTTCATATTACTTGATTGTAACATGAATGTATCAATATTAGTTTAAATCAAAGTATTTAGACTGTCATACAAAAATTTGGAACTAGTATTTTAGGATAGGTTATTTTTTCCTCATTCATTGTATAGTGTATTATAGAATTATACACAATGTATTATTTATCACATTATAAAATTTTTTAATAATTTATATACATGGCATTTCTTTTATTTAATGTCACATGTTCACATTTCTATGTGTTTAAATATGGATTCCTTTTTTTATATTTTATTTTGCTTCATATATTGAAATAAATTTTATGCTATTTCATTTCAGGCAGGAATTGTACATATGCTACTGAAACTTCTATGCCTGTGCCTATTGTCCAGCCACCATTTTCATGTGAGCTGAATTTTATCAGTTCATCTATGGATGTAACTGCCAGTGACATTTTTTTTGCAGCCAGTGGTTTTGATATTGATAAAGGTAGCTGTTAAATTTTGTCGTATTTAAAAACATATTTGCATTATTAAAATTATACAAATATTCTATATAATTAAAATGCATTTTTATTCCTTCTTTAATGTATCATATTTTTAGTTCTTTTTACTGATTGGTTTGAAAGAAAAAACAAATCATGTGTCTCAGTTGTTTAAATTATGCTTAGGGGTCAAAAACGTTAGATTGTATAGTTTAATTTACATTTATTCAAAAGTCTATTGTATTGAATATAATGCATGCATGATAGAGGAAACATTTTAAGGATAACAAGTCATTTGAAAGCTATTGTAACTAAGAGATGTGGAGGAGTGGAGTAAAATACTTAATTAGTGAAATTAGGCTAGTAGCAATTAAAAGAATGAAAAAGAACTCATGATAAGGAATTTGATTGAGTATCATGAGAAGATTCGATGAAAATTCTTTAATAGTTCTTGCTTTTAAAGAGTTTTAAATGAAAAAGTCAAAATATATGGGTAGTGCTGTTGTCCTTGAAGATTTGCCACTGGGGATGTAAACATTCATTAGCTTGCCTAATTGCTGAATATTTGGGAACAGCTTGAGTTAATAACTAATCGAATATTCAGCAAATTCAGTATATACAAAAAAGAAAGATTATTTACATTTTTTTTTTTTAATTTCAAAGCTTTTCCTTTATTATTTTTTAATTTGAAACTTCTTTACTTAAGTTTTATACACTATTGTATTTTTTTTTTTTTTATGGTGTAAGTATAATAATGCAATTTGTAACAAAATTCTGTTGCATTCTGCTCATAAATTATATTCACTTTTGAAAACAGCTGTATACTTTAATTCTAGTTCATATGATCGTTAAAAATCTTGAGATTTTTTAAAACAATTTTTCGTTTATAAAATTCCTTAACCCTTTCAGGACAGGTGCCCCATCCATGCATCACTAGAGATTGCAATCAGAGGATGGGTGATGCATATATGCATTTTAAGCTGAAATGTTTTTCTGAAGGCCACTAGATGGCATCCTATGCCCATTACTTTTGAAATGAACACAGTTTTAGGTTCCTCACCTTGAGTTTGATGTATTCTGCCTGACTTTGGTATTTTACTCATCAACTTTTGAGGGGGGAGAAGCGTAAACAGAGGTGGTTTCTTTAAAACGCCACATGCTAATATAAACATTTGCATGTCTGATTTATATCCAATTCCTTTTTTTATTCTATTTTTTCCTCCACTATGCATGGTCTTTTAGGGTTACTATGTGGAGTTCTGTTACATTTTGCATTACCTTCAGATATATTTCCGTTTCTTCTCTTTTTATTTTGGAAAGCTTCACCTCCAGTCTATTATGGCGGGAAGGCACTATTTATCAGAGGAAGAATACCTTCATATGGTTAATGATTCATTTTCTAAAGAGTTAGAAAGTGATACTTCTGCGTGCTTCAAGATTTACCACACTCAGTCTTGATTGTAATTTTTGTTATTTCTTACTGTAAATAGTCTTTATTGTGTTGTTTTATTAACTTTAAACTTCATTGATGGATTTTATCAATTAAAACTTTGGAGTAATTTAAATAGCGCTTACGAAAATTATTTTACAAGATAAGGAATTTTTTAAGTATCTTTTCATGTAAAATAAAGAAAAAAAAAAACCTTATCAAGTGCTAATCTTAACATATACAAGAGCTCAAGTAATAATCTAAAATGACACCTAAAATTACGATGCTAGAAGTGAAACTTTTTTTTTTCCCTGATTTATATATATATATATATATATATATATATATATATAAAATTAGGCTTAGCGATGCAAAACCTCCGTCCTGTACGGTGATTGCCTTCGATTCCCTTCCGTCTCACATGAGTATCTTAAACTAAGGTGCGCCGTCACGAAAGGTTTTATTTTGGTCCAAACTTGCAAATGATCTTTAATTTTGCCTATCTGATATTTCTATAGCTGCCATTCTGAGTGCCAGTTAAGGTTTTGAAAAATATGGAATTTAAAACACTTGATTCATAATGGGTTATCGCAAATTAGCCTTGTGAACCATAAAGAACAATTGGCCATTTTGGAATGAAATTTTTTGGATGCTTGTTTGGTATTCATTGCAAACTCTTGAAAGAAGTCATCAGACTCCCCCCCCCCAAAAAAAAATTAACTGAGCGTGATCTTCATGAAGGTCAAAGATGATTTTCATGAAGATTTTGCTTCCACCCAGTATTATCAGTGTATTCAGAAATTCTTTATCTGCATAGTATAGTTGTCAACTCTGCTAGTTTTGCTGGGAGGCTTCTAGTTTTCCTTCCTATCACCCAAATTTTAATTTTTAGGCTTTACTTTGGCAATTTAAGCAAGAAATGAAATTTATTGAATTGTGCAGACTTGATCCTGTCACAGATTTTCACATAATTATCACTAAATTTATCCATGAATTTAGTACTAAGACCTTGCAGACATATTATTGTAATAATAGTATTTGTTAAATAGCTAATATTAATGCAGCTGTATTTATTTAAAACAAAATTGCTGTTGTAAATCAAACAAGTAAAACCTGAGTTGAATTCTCAAATTTTAATCTTAATTCAAGGGAGCATTTTCATTTTATACCTGTGTAGTTGTATGTAATCTTCCTTTTTCAATTCTTGCAGGCATGTATTTCTGCAGCATAGAAGCTGTCAATAAAATCTCTATGAGTGAAACAAGTATTCTAGAAGGCCAGTTATCTTTGACTGTACATCTGCTGTCCGTAGATCATTCATCATCTTTATCTCAGCAACTATTACTATCATTTCTGCCAGCATTCTATATACAGCAGGATGAAGTTCTTCTTTCGGATCTACAGCCTACAAATCATATTATTATTTCTGCTACTCCTGCAGTACAGCGCTGTATTTTGGTAAATACTTTGTAACTTTTTTTAAGTTTTCATTTAAGAGAGCTTCCCCCTCCTTCCCTTAAATGCTTAAGTAATATGTTACAAGTTCTTAGGTAGTTAACTTTTTCCCATAAAATAGGTTTATAAATGAAAACGTCTGTGCATTATTTGTATTAATAAAAGAGATGAAACCCAGTTCCCCCCTCCTTTAATTATATTGCTCACTGCTGTGGCAGATATACTGCATCCTGCATTACCCCTCTGAATATATATAACTACACTTTCTAGAAGTTGTCAAGATTCATTGTATATAATGGTGCACGAAAAAACTCAATGCCCTGTTATATTAATTTTTAAAATGCTTAAATGTAAATGCACTTGGTAAAGACTGCTTTATGTCACATCATACTTAACATGTAATATAAGAATAAAATATTTGATACATTTCATTTAACTTTATTATTTATTCACATGCAATGCAAGGTTATTCTTAGAATATCCTAGACCAGTGTTTCACAACCTTTTTTTCCTCGCGAACCAAAAGAAAGGTCCAGAAAAATGTGATGAACCCCCTATGTAGTCGTTAATGATAGATTAAAAAAAAAGCAATAAAATTTGATATAATACATATTTTTCATATTGCAGAATAGTTGATTATATTAATCGTGAAACATTTAAATAAAACATTAATAAGACTAAAATGATGGCTATAAAAGTTGAAAACAAGATAAATTTAACAAACTGGTCCTTATGTTTTACATTTGGAAAAACTCTTTATGGGATATTTGTGGCTGTTTGATAAAACAAATTTATCTTTCAGATAAGTATATGTTGAAAATCCTTTCTCACATAGATATGTTGTGCAAAATGGTAATAGAACTTCAATGGCTTTTTTTTTTACACAACAGGATATTGAACAGATTGATCTTTCAAAATTGCTTCTAGAGAACTGTCACAAGATAACTCTATGAGTTTTTCTTTTTCCAGTATATTTAGACAGGTTTCTGAACTTACATTTCCTTGAAATGGATTACGTATCCAGTTGTTTGAGATGGATATATTGCATCTGTAGGGAAAATAGTCATCGAAAGTTAATCGAAGATAGTTCAGATGTTCACATATACTCCTTTTAATGTTTTCGTCAAGTTTAATTGAATTTTCTGATAAAAAAGTGCTGACAGAATCGAAAATCATTCATCATGAATTCATGAATCATTCATCTGCAGGCATTGAATCCAAAAATTGATATTTTTCAGCATAGTCCCAATTCTATCATGTACACTGAAAATTGTGACACCCTCGCCTTGTAAAGACATATTTAATTCATTCAGTTTACAAAAAATGTCAGCTAAATACGCAAGCTTTTGCAGCCAAAGAACATTGGATATACTAGAAGACAAATGAAACGGATGATAAAAAAAAAAAATGCTTGAACTTCAGACTTCAATTCAAACAAATGCATCAAAACTTTACCACGGGAAAGCCATCTAACTTCTGTGTGAAGTAGTAAAGAAATGTGGAAACTTCCAAAATCCTCACAAAGCATACGGAATAGACGGCAATTTGTAGCACACGATTTTATAAAGTTCACAATTTTCACAGTATCACTTATAGTAGATAACTCTGCAGAAATACGCTTATATACTAAAGCTTGTCTATGAATACAACAATGAGTCCGTTGAATTTTCTCGTTGATCTTCTTCACCCGTGCCACGAAACCAGAAATTTTTCCTGTCATTGATTTTGCACCATCTGTACACACACCCACACAATAAGACCAGCTTATTCCATTCTTTTCAAAATACCCATTGATCATATCGAAAATAGCTTCTCCGGTTGTGTAGGTTTTCAAAGGTTTTGTAAATAGTGCATCTTCTTGAACAATATTTGTAAAAAGATATCTAATGTAGACAAGCAAGACTGCGGCATTTGTTACATCCGTCGATTCGTCAAGTTGAATTGCGAAAATAATTCAATTTTATTCTTTTTAAAAGTTCGTTCTCCACATAATTAGCCAAGTCATTAATTCTATGCGACACCGTGTTCTTTGATAAGGGAACTAGCTCAATTTTCTTTGCTGCCTTTTCTCCAAGCATACATTTGGCGATATCTTTCACACATGGTCCAATTTTCTGCTATTGTGTGTGCTTGTCCAGATCTTGCAATTCTATAAATTACTCGAAATGATGCTTCAAAGGGCCATTTTACTATCTCCGTTTGAAGTCAAGAAAGACGAAAGGCTACACGTTTTTATATCTGCTAATTTTCTTTTGAAATATTCAAGAGGTTTATCTTTGTATGTCGGATGTCTTGTTTCGATATGTCTACGAAGAAGTGATGGTTTTAAACTGCTGTTGGCAAGAACTTCGTTGCATATAATACAAAGCGGTTTAGGTTCTGACTCGTTCCCAGTAAAATGAAAACAAGACCCAATTGTAGATGGTCGCTGTCATATTTTCGCTTTTTCCCTTTTCTATCATTATTTCCTTTGTTTTCCGTCTGGTGAAACGGTACCTCACTACAGCTTTCAGTACTATCATCACGATTATCATGTCTCGTTTCTAAACGACCTGTTTTTAACCATCGACCCATAATAAAAATAAGCTATAATGGTAATTAAATTAATAATTATTAAATCATTTACACGAGAACTTGACAGTCACAGTATCACTATCTTTCAAGCTTTACAAGTGCTAAGCCTATGTATGAACGTCGACAGACAGACAACACTACTCTCCTAGTTCCCGGTTGTGAACAAGTATCTAATTCTGAAATCTGTAGTAAACTGCCTTAATTTGATATTTATTTCCAATTGTATTGTAAAAAAAATATATTACATAGAAGGGAAAACTGCTGCAATGATTTTAAATATAAATAAATGTTTGTAATAAAAAGAGAATAGTATTTGATTACTTGAATAAGAGGAATAAATTATAATGTATAAAATTGTTGATATAATTTGATATTGATGAAATAATCTTGAAAAAGAAATGAAAATATTGAAATTTAATATAGATTTCTTAACAAACAGGCAGCGAACAATCTATTTTACAGTAGGTGTTTTTTTTTTTTTTTTTTTTCCTTTTCTTTTGATTTTAATGGCGTTTTAAAAAAATCGGCATTACAGTATTATTTTCGCGAACCACCAGTTGGGAATCACTGTCCTAGACAATTGGAACAAATAATCCCAGTTGAGGATTGGGGCATATTGTCCCAGGAGATTTGCAGGAAATGGGAAAAGTTAAAATCTGTAAACTAATATTACACTTCTTTTAGTATGTCAACATTAAATTAAACTACTTTTCATAGTTAAATTTTTAATCATGCAAAAGTTGGGTCATACCTCCAATGAAAATTAACTTATACATTTTTCTAAGATAATAATATGCTTTTTTGTGTGTGTGGACAGCCGCTGTTGTACCAGTCTTGACCTATATTTTTGTGGGTCTGTGATAGCACATGAGATGAGAAGTTCAGCTGCACTGCACTTTGCTGTAAAAACCACTTTCAGAATCCCACATGAAGAAGATAATTTTCTGTTTTCAAAGCCTGAGCCCTGTAAAAGTGGAACGGATGTAATCATTTTTCATTTAGCATACTCGAAATGGTAAATTGACTCATTCCTGTGCAGCATAAGATAGCTGTTGTACTTGAGTGAAATCTTTCATAAGGCTCAAAATGATTGTATCCAGGTCTGGACATTGTGCCACTCTCTCTCAATCTAATTCTAGCCTGCTGATCTTGAAAGAACCGGTTCTACAATGCTGGAGGTGTAATTGTGCCACTCTCTCTCAATCTAATTCTATCTTGCTGATCTTGAAAGAACCAGTTCTACAATGCTGGAGGTATAACAACTCAAACAATTTGTGGTCCAAAATTCTTGTATATTAGAAAAGTCTTCCTTCTAAGATTATTATTTTTTAACTTTTGCATTAGATGCTTGTCTACCTTCTCATCATTCGTAATGTCTCCCTCACATCAAGGTTGCCACGCTACCTGGAAAACTGGAAAAAGTCGGAATTCGGAAATCGACCAAAAAATTCAGGGAAAAGTCAAGGAATTTAAGTGTTTTAGTCAAAATTTGGAAAAGTCAGGGAATTTCATACAACGATCCCGCCAAAAAAGCGAGTTTTGCACCGACGTCGGAAGAGATCACTTTTTTGGCGAATTGTGTATCATGTGAGTGTCATTCGGGTAGCTGGCATAGAGCCAATTTTCACAGCTCCAATTTGATTGTCTTTTCAGAAAGGCAAAGCAAGTTTCCCGCAACTTTTGGTTTCCAGTAACCTCGAGAATCGCATGTGCAGTGCGTGAACTAAAGAAAGTACCTGTTCTCGTATAAAACAAAATGGGTTTAATCCTAGTATACGGTACCATGAAGGTTAGAATAAAAAAATATGTATTGTAAAGAAGGAAAACCTCTCTGCAACAGACGTGGCTCCGTTCCATCATAGCGGGAAACAGCTGTGCATGCGCCAAAGCTCGAAACCGGTGTCGAAGTTCGAAGGTCACGTTATCAAGAGTTCATAAAATGAATGTCGTTTAAAATTTCTTTAAACTCTAAAGGAAAAGAAAATATTTTTTGGCGCGAGTAAATTAATTCATGGATTAGTTATTTTGAGGGGGGGGAAATCTACGAAAATCCGCTTTTAAAATTATTATCCAAGAAAATACGTTCTTTGATAAAACGTTTCTTCTTGGATTTTTCGTAATAATTTAAAAACAGATTTTCGTAGATGTTTTTTTTTTTTTTTTTTTTTTTTTTTTTTTTTTTTTGTCAAAGATCGTTTCTTCTTAACACGTGTTTCTCAATTTCCTGTACACATCGTGGAGAATGAAATTCTGGCCTCCAGGTTCCGTCGCCAAATTTGCCAAGCGTGGCAAATTTTCCCTTCGCTTTTTACACAGACGTTCTTTGGTTAAAATAATCTCCATGTATGGTACAGAGGGATTTGGCGACATGATGATGAGCAGTAAATGGGTCATTTTGTTCTTGGTGACAATTTTCAAAATCATGCAAA